CGCAACCGCACGCGGTGACCGCGGGCGAGCGCAGCTAGTGCAACAGTTCTTTGTCATTTAAAGTTACTAGCATAGGGACAAATGTCGAAGCGTTCAATGTAGATTCCTCCAATGCTACTTTTGATTCGATTCGTTTACAAAAAGAGACATAATCGAAGCGATAGCGATGTTGAAAAGTCAACATCGAAATCGCTCGTGACAGATGTCACGCTCACGAATGTAGCGTTCTAACGCTACGTACCTACCTACTACTTATTATACTTCGTTGTGATTTACGAACGAAGCGATTTCGTTATTCAATCTGTCACGAATGTAGCGTTGGAGGCACACACAGCGAAGCGATTTCGATGTTGAATCTGTCAGTAATGTAGCATTGTATTTTGTTAATATTCTAACTAGGCCTAGGGAAAAATAAAACAAAACTCTTGCAACTTATGTATAAGAAATAGGTATATTTTAGTGTATAATTCACAAGAACGGCGGCTGAACGCACACCTGCCTCAAATACTTAGTACACCCAAGCACCGGCGGCAGCGGCGGCAGGAGCGGCGTCGTCAACGCAGCCGGCACCGACACACCGCAACCGCACGCGTTGACCGCAGGCACGGTTGCGGGCGCGCGGTACGCTGCGGTAGGAAGTGTACCGCAGGAGGCACAGGTGGGGAGACCGCAACCGCAGGCTGGGGTTATCACTGGGCTGACGCTGGTTGGGATTCTGGAATAGGAGGGAATTAATTTTAGGACATAGAAATGAAACGGCAGGGCCAGTTGTCTTCGTCACCATCTCACTGTTCACTCTGTACTGTTTTTGCAGTACACTTACCGTTTAGTAGTAGGTAAAGTAGGTAGGTACGTGTTTTATAAGGCTCTTTGTCATGGAGCCATCCCGTTTTTGCAGGATCCCGTTTATTGTTTTAATATTAACATTCAAACAGTCCGGTCAAAAACAGGACCCAGTTTAATTACAAGTTTGCACCTGTACCACGAAAAATCGCTCCTGCAAAAACCGGGATACCGTGTGCAGACACACACGTCACCAGTCCATTTGTATTGCAGGATCCTGCAAACCAGGATTGCTATTCGAAAGAGCCCATAATCAACTTGACATAAGTTCCTATTTTGTAGTATAAAAGGGTTTTATTCAACCCACCTGCAATCCAGTCCGCAGCCACAAGACACCGGCCCGCGGTCACAGGTGAGGGCAGTACGTCGCACATCGAGCACTGGCGGCAGGACTTCTACCAGCGGGTTGTACGCTAGCGGCAGGACTAGGAGATGACTGTTTTCTACTGGTTTCGGTACACTTGCGCGAAAGACACTAGAGCGAAAAGCCATTTGCGCGCACGGACACTTGCGCGAAAAGACATGAGCGCGAATGGACGTTTGCGCGAAGACACTAGCGCGAAAAGACATGAGTGCGAAAGACACTAACGTGAAAGACATAAGCGCGAAAGACACTAGCGCGAAAGACATAAGCGCGAAAGACACTAGCGCGAAAAGAAATTAGCGCGAAAGACACTAGCGCGAAAGACATAAGCGCGAAAGACACTAGCGCGAAAATACATGAACGCGAAAGACACTAGCGCGAAAAGACATGAGTGCGAAAGACACTAACGCGAAAGACATGAGCGCGAAAGACACTAACGCGAAAAGAAATGAGCGCGAAAGACACTATCACAAGAGACATTTGCGTGAAGACACTAGTATGACGAAGATAATAGTAAGACTATAGTTCCTGAAAGACTGAAGCGATTTCGATTTTCTTTTCTCGCTTGTACTCGTATCTTGGAAACGGTGCGTCCTAGCACAAAAATAACATCAAATTCACAAAACTAAGTAGATTGTCCTGGGAAAGGCTTATTCCACTCGACATAAGAAAGTGAGCAAAAATGATTATTATTATAATAATAAGAGCTTATTCCTTATTCAAACCACCTGCAGTCTAGTCCGCAGCCACAAGACATCGGCCCGCGGTCACAGGTGAGGGCAGTACGTGCTTGCACATCGAGCACTGGCGGCAGGACTTCTATTATAGGGTTGTACGCTAGCGGCAGGACTAGATGACTGTTTGCTATTGGTTTCGGTACACTTGCGCGAAAGACACTAGCGGGAAAAGACATGAGCGCGAAAGACACTAACGCGAAAGACATAAGCGCGAAAGACACTAACGCGAAAGACATAAGCGCGAAAGACACTAACGCGAAAGACATAAGCGCGAAAGACACTAGCGCGAAAAGAAATGAGCGCGAAAGACACTATCACAAATTGTATCACAAGAGACATTTGCGTGAAGACACTAGTATGACGAAGATAATAGTAGTTCCTGAAAGACTGTAGCGATTTCAATTTTCTTCTCTCGCTTGTATCTTGGAAACGGTACGTCTTAGCACAAAAATTGCATCAAATTCGCAAAACTAGGTTGTCCTGGGAAAGGCATTCCACTCGACAAGAGCTTATTCCTAATTCAACCCACCTGCAGTCTAGTCCGCAGCCACAAGACACCGGCCCGCGGTCACAGGTGAGGGCAGTACGTGCTTGCACATCGAGCAATGGCGGCAGGACTTCTATTATAGGGTTGTACGCTAGCGGTAGGGCAGGAGATACCACTGGCGGCAGCAGAACTGCTGCTTTGGCTTGCATCTGTCAAAAAGAATAAATTAAGCCCGAACCTTACTGGCCAGCGCGTGAGAAGTATATTATATGTAGGTCGAAACATCCATTTCAAATTGACACCATCGTTTTTATGAATATTTTCAATCATCATTAGAGGCTCGTGCTCCTGGCAGTGGAGAAACGGGACTATTCCCACCTCTCGTTCCCACCACTGCAACTCCTGTGTAGCCAGGATCTACAGCTTGACCGCCACAAAAACCCAACCAATGAAGGTCAAGTTTGTCCCAGGGGAAAGTTAAACTGTCCTAATCTAATCTAACAGTGTAGAGTCCTGGCAGTGGAGAGTAATGCCCTTATTTACAAACATTACTATGAGGTCTCACAGTTTGCGTGGACGCACAGGGTCACACACGACGGACCAAACAGAGCTCTCGTTTACGAATACTAGTGTAAGTTTTTAAGAAGCGTCTTTTAAAAAAATGTGATTTCATATTATTAGGGAATAGTATCAAATAGTCGAAATCTTACACTCGCTAAACCAATGCAGAGAAACACAAATATCAATCGGCACGTCATTTTCTTTCTAACTAAACAACAAATTACTAAATTAAACCTAATTCCAAAAGTATTACCAGTTATATACCTCAGATAATAAAATGTTACGACAAACTTAAGAATTTGTGGCCCATATCGAATATTGGGAAAGTTGTTTATCAAATTGAATCAGTAGTTTGAAGCAATATTATTAGTGACTTAACTACTAGGTTCCTACTTCTGAAGTTCTGAGGGTCTAAGTTCAATTTCCAGGCGAGACACGCTATGTAAAACAAAATACCTAATAGGTATCCCAACCTGTTTAAGGCATGCATGTAAGATAAGTATACAGGGTGGAAACGTTAAGTGACCTCACTCGATTATTTCTAAACTATATAAGATATCGAAAAACTGATTACTGATTCTGAAAGTACTTCACAAGCTCTTTCAAACGGTACCAATAATAGGTTACAGAATAAACTGGATCTATCCGAAACTTGAATGTTTCCAGCTTCCATACATTTAGTAACCACATAATATTAAAAACTATACAAGATATTAAAAAACTGGTTACTGATCCTGAAAGTGCTTCACGAGCTCTATCCAACGGTACCAATATAATAGGTTACAAAATAAACTGGATCCATTCGAAAATTCTTAGCCTTATTGTATTATTATCGAAAGGAATAGTTACTTCTTCTTCTTGTCAAGTCGACAACAAACCTATACGGTGTCAGCCCAAAACTCCGCTACAAGAGTGGCGTTGTCAGTATCCTTCATTATTTCTGCCTGCGTGCTGTTGCTTAGGCAGGCACACAGGGCACGACATCATGTGCATCATGTCGACTGGGGAACAAAACCACACTTGCACTCCAAGTTTGAGCCATCTAAGAATCACCACCTGAACAGATTGTCCTCAATAACGTTACGTGTAACGTGTTTATAGGGCACTTAAAGTTGACGATTGGCTCATAAAGTGTGAGACCAGTAAATGAGTTAATCTTTTCCGTAATATGTTTTTCACACATGTTTATATGTAAATAAATATCTTTATCTTTTATCTTTATCCGCTATAGAGGTGTATCATTTTTTGAGAACCTAACCACCGCGGTATCGTACCTACAATTTGGTTACCTACAGAACTAAAAAGATAAACTTAGGCACTACTTACTGATACCATTGATACAAGAACTTGAATTCCCAGTATTATAATCTAACTTATGTAATGTGAACATTTTATTTACAAACGATAAATATCTATATCGATACAAATAGATTTACATAAACTTATTACATTTTGATTACGTTATAAGTATTATAAAAGGTAGGTTACTGTATCTATCGTGTCATTAAATTTTGATAAACGGTAAGTACCTACATAGTTGATAATATTTTCTACAATATTGTGAAAAATATTTTTTTAGAAGTTTAATGCTAATTTTACGGCATTTACTATAGAACTTTTGTTTCAAAGTACTTAAATCAATTTTAACTAAAAACCCGACTAAGACCTTTCTGCGATATGATGGTTCTGCTTTTTAATTAGGTATTCGGGATATTAAAGTTATGCATGAAGATTATACTGATTAACAAAATTATTAGTTTTGAATGTATGCCAAATTAGTGTATGCCTAACGATTTTCTACGTATAGAAGATTATGCTATCCGTTGTTATGCATAGTAAAAAATTATGATTTAAAAAGTTCTGCGAAAAAAGGTAGAACCAGTACGAGGGACTAACGTAACTAGTAATTTGTGCTATTTAAAAATGTATCTTACGCTTAAAAAGGTTACTCTAGCATCTGAATTCATAAAAAACCTAATAATAGAATATCTTTTTTTTTTCAGTTAATATGGGCCGGCTATGCACCATCATATTCACACTGGTAGCAGCAACACTATCCACCACAATGGCGGCGTGCCCTAGAGCCAACTCGAAACTTCTAGACGATATCCTCTCTCCTGCCAACGCCGAGAGAGCCTTACAAATCCTTCGATTAGCAGCCGCAGGCGCAAGAGCTACCCCAAGCAATACTGGCTTCAATTTACTGGAAGACATAGTAGCTTCTAGGTACTTGCCTAGTACAGTATTGCCAGCGAAACCTCTAGTGCAAGAACTCCGAAGAATACCACTACCACGACGTCAGCCAGTGGTAGAAGTCGCACCAGCGTATACCCAAGAAGTTTATCCGCCGGTGGTGGCGCCAACAGTGGTTCAAGAGAGAGTGTATCCCGCCATGCCAATACCGCAACCGTGCGCGGTGGCGACGGCAACTCCTGTCGCGCCAGAAGTGTATCCTTCCGCGCCAGTGCCAATGGTCAATCCGTTCCTGCCAGCCGCGTCTCCTGTTTCCGCCATTGCACCGCCCACTTCAAGTCTGCTCCCGCCAATGGACCCGACTCAAGTTCGGAGTCACTTCTTGAGAAAGATACCGATTCCGCCGCCATCTTTGTAGTTTGTAGTTTCTTTATTTGTTGAGTTTGACTATTTATGTATTATGATTATAGTCTTTGGTTGTAATTTTACCAGCATTTTATTGCCCTGAAAGGTTTTTATGACTTACCTAAGTATTTTTTTCAAAGCCTTCATAGACCCGAACAAAATTATTTCAAATATGTACAGTCAGCGTCTAAAGTAGACAAAAAATTCGCAACACGTCTTTGTTACAGTTGGATTAAGGTTGTGTTGTCTTTGGTCACTTTGGATGTCATAGATTTATTTGATGCTGACTGTAAGTACTTCTAAGAATTTCTAGGTCGTTTGACTATGTTTATAAAATCAATACAAGGTGGACCTGATAAGGGTAGCAGGAAGGTGCTGGATGCAGGCCGCTACCAACCGTGCGATGTGGAAGTCATTGGGGGAGACCTGTGTTCAGCAGTGGACGTTCTATGGCTGAAATGATGAATGATTATAAAATCTACCAAGGATTAGAATTAGACTGAAATTCAACTGTACTTCCAGCATTTTCAGGATAGTTTCTTTTGAAACATTTATCTACACTTATCCAACTTCTAACTCCTCCTATGTTCTTCTGATTAAGTTCGTTGCGGTTAATTACAGTTTAACTTTTCCCCGGGACAAACTTGACCTTCACTGGTTGCGTTTTTATTAGAGGTCAAGCTGTAGATCCTGGCTACACAGGAGTTGCAGCGGTGGGAACGAGAGGTGGGAATAGTCCCGTACTTATTTAACTCATATGAGTGTGGTGAAAATTACCTTTCCACGTGCCACAATTTCAAAATATCTTGAGAAACAATTTTATCAAAATACCTGCTCAATTTCGAACCAAGTGGGTTTCGTAAATACTTTTAAAAGAATTTAGCAATAATTAGGTCAGTAGGAAAATTCTACGAAGTACATAAATAGGGCCAAATAATTGAAACATCAGTCTGTTTGTTTGGTTTCAACAATATGTTGTTGAAGATAGTGTTTATTGTAGTAATAGCCACTGTAAGTATGAAATGTATTTTTTAACTTGAGTATGAGCCAAGTGTGTAGAGTCGTAGTTTTCTTGCAATAAGCCATAAGTCAGACTAGGACCATGGTCTTACGCCCGTATTCACAAACATTACTATGAGGTCTCACTGCGCGTGGACGCACAGAGTGACACACGAACCAGTCACAGAGCTCTATTCAACGCTGTGCGTTCGTTTTGCTACTTCACTTAAGCAAGCATCGTTTGTGAATACGGCCGTTAGTATCTAAGCCAAGTAAAGAGTCGTGATTTTCTTGGAATGAGCCATCTAGGACTATGGTCTTTTTTGACGTCAGGAAATGCTTTGCTCATATCCACTGGTCGATGGGGACGGCCAGTGGGTTATGTGGGACTTTCCCCGCCTAGCCACTAAAGGCGGGGCCTACCCACTAAAACTCGACGGTTTCCACCAGAGCCCAAAGAAACGGAGCCGCGAGTTATTGTCCTGGTTGGACATTCGTCCGCAGCTCCGCCTCAGGCTAGAGGCTCGCTCACGAGCGAGCCACTCTGGCTTCGAGGGAACCCGCAATACTCTCCTCCAGTTATTTTTTATAGAGGTTTTCTCCTCGCGGCCCTGGTACAACAGGACCCCCGGCCCGCCGTAGCGGGTTACGGTCTGCTCTATGCCGCTGCTCGGTCAGCTCTGCTGATCAGAGAAGTACCGAGAGCGGCCCTCCAAAGAATGGGTTCGGGCAAACGCCCCGCCAGCCCCCAACTGTGGGGGTTTTTAAAGATTTCCCCTGCATCTTGGCCCGGGCAAATGCCTCGACGGTCCCCGGCCCACTCAATTGTGGGTTACGGGTTGCCCAACAGGCCCGCCGAGTTAACGAGACCTGCCGCGCAGGTGAGAAGTTAGCCGCCCGCACAGACCACGCGGACCGGACGTTGCCCAGGGTGCACCACGAGGAGGTCCCTCACCATCGCACCCCATGGTCATAGTCTGACTTGGCTCATTTGGCGAAATAATGTCTAGGTCGTTCAGCCCAGACAATAACTCGCAGTTCCGTCCCAAAGATTTTGGAGAACACCGTTAGATTTAAGTGAGTAGGCCATGCCCATCTGGCAGGGAGAGCCTCACATAACCCACAGGTTCCTCCGGGCCAGTGGGTATGCAATTATTCGAAATGCTGACCACAGTTATAACGCTTGTTCTCAGCGAGTCACACCGAGTACCTACTTAACTCTGTTACTCAGTGGGAATATTTTTCCCAACGATCGAGTCACACACGTTCAGACAAAATTATGTATTAGTTCATAATTTCGTTTTAGTTTGTAGTTTTTTTGTGCAATCTTTCTCCAGTTGAATGCTAAGATATACAATATCAATCTGGTATTAAAATACCTACCTACTTCTTTAGTAACATCAAAAGATTATCAATACTAAACATGTGTAAATCCACTTTGATTTAGATTAAAGAATTAGCTCGTCATCGGGTACCATTGCCCTTAGCTAGACAATAAACTCTACAATACGAGGTATTAAAAAACAGTTTTTGTTTGTGGTCTAGCACAGCGGTTCTCAATCTTTAGGGCCCGTAACTAAGTCCTGACAAGACTGAGAGAAATCAGGAATTCCAAGAAAACTACGAGTCTACTACACACTTTAGTCTTATTTTAAAGATTAGAGACGAAGAGAAGTTGGCATCTTTATTGCTCACCACACAAAGCTTTCAAAATCATAAATCAAAATCAAAATTATCTTTATTTATGTATTACTAATTAAATTAGTAGGTACTTACAAATCGCCAAATGCTCTTAAGGAGCCTATACCTGTCTCATTCTATTTTGCCCTACCAGCACTTTATGTGCCAATGCAAATATTCCCGCTAACTCCTCCAGCTGAGTGAAGTATTATACTTGTTACTTTAACAATCCCCTTCAGATACACCAACAATTATAGTCCAGCGATCGATGGGGATCGAACATAGCATTCCTTCAATATACAGTCAGTCTGACACAGTGGGGCTCTGGTCGCCCCATTAACTAAGTTAAAAAAGTTTGAGCATCGCTCGTTTCTCATAAAGTAGGGGTTAAAAGTACGCACTATTCACCTTTGACCTTTCGACTATTGACACGACCTTTGCAACCTTACCAAGCGTTATATTGAACATCAAATTCAGCAAAATAAATAAAAACCCACGCACAGTAATGTAAATAAACTCTGAAAAATCAAATCACGCCCACATTTACGAGTATCCATCCATTATCTACCATCTACAGCAGGGGTGGCCAAACTTTTTACCTGCAAGGTCTACTTATACTCGAAAATATTTCTTTCCTTATATTAATATTTCTGTCCTTCAGTCAAGATTATTTATTGGTCGTATCGAGCAGTCTGGAAATTCTGGAATGCATTCTCTCAGCGGTCGCAGGTTTTTTATACATAAGTACACAGGTGGCCCGCGCCCCCCTTTAAAGGTCTTTGCGCCTCCCCTAGGGGGCGCGCCCCTCACTTTGGGAACCAATGGTTTAGAAAAAGTAAAATAAAATGTCACTTTAAGAAAACGTTTTGCTATATCATTTTACTGTGACATCGACTCTACAGTGACCGTGAAATTAAATGCAATATTATGAATCAGCAATGACATTGAAATATCTGGGTCAAGTTTCTGAAAGCTTAGCATTTTGCATTTCTGCACAACAATGGAAATATTCACGTACTTATGTAATCGACATGTTTATGCATGACTTACGATCCCTTACGATCAAGTGATTTATGAGTATCAACTAAACGTTCAATCCACTTATTTCTATCTGGACAAATTTTAATGGCCTATCAATACTCGCCACCGGGGGTAGAAAAACTTTAAGGGACTCGACTCTACTACCCTCGCCTATGTAATACAGTAGGTAGACTAAGAGCTAGTGAACGCCAGACCTACTTTATTTCAAAAAATGCTGAAAGTTTGTCAGCGCATGCTCCCAACATAGGTAAGAACGTTACGCCCGTATTCACAAACGATACTTGCTTAAGTGAAGCAGCAAATCGAACGCACAGCGTTAAATAGAGCTCTGTGATTGGTTCGTGTGTGTCCCTGTGGGTCCACGCGCACTGTGAGACTTCATAGTAATATTTGTGAATACGAGCGTTAGTCAACAGGGTCAGATGCCCATCCTAGAGAGAGAACTACAGAGAAAATTTAATGATATACCACGTTCTTGCAACTCACGATGGCGAGTGAGCTTTACTTGTGTGTGTACATGTACAGTCGCGGAATGAAAAGGTTCGTCACCTTAGTGTCGGTTTTCGCTTGCACTAGGTATTATAATAGTCAAACCTGCCAACATAACAGTGCAAGAAACAGTGCTGCTAACATTTAAATAAATAATATGACGTTTGCTAACGAATAAGGTTTTGCTTGTTTATTTTTCTATCCCATCAGTGCAATGCAATGACAATGATGACATTGACCAATTGACAATAGTTTTTTTTTATTTAATAGAAATAATAATGGCAGGTTGAACCAACAAAAAGGTTTTAGTTTATCAATCATAATAATCTTCTTGACAAGATAAATCGTCAAACAACTGATCTGAATAATTTTGAACTTTACTGACGAACAGTTAAAGATTATTTTCTCTAACTCGAGATTATTCTGTAACATAGTTTCAAAAGGTAATATGTGCTCGCGATTCGTTGAAGGAATCAATCTGAAAACTGACGAACCTTTTCATTCCGTGACTGTACATGCACAGAACGATAGTGTAATGTCTATCAAAACTTTTAAAAAGACGAACAGTAGCGAGCCACCACACATGTAAAGCTCACTCGCCTTCGTGAATTGCTACAACTCATCATCATCATCATCTCAGACATAGGACGTCCACTGCTGAACATAGGCGACGACATCATAAAGGTAGCAGGAAGGCGCTGGACGCAGGCCGCTACTAACCGGGCAACATGGAAAGCATTGGGGGTGGCCTATGTTCAGCAACAACTATACTTAGTTTATTTTTATTTTTACAGGCACAATGTCAGCTGCTCACCATCCCACCTCTACCAATACCACCACCAGCGATCTCAGCATCAGCAGCGGCTTCAGCTTCAGCTTCGATAATTGAAGATATTTACCCACCAGTTTACCCGCCCTTTAATTATCCGTTCCCAAATTATCCCCAACCTACCCCCATTAATCAACCCTCTAAACCTTCTCCCCGCTCACAGTATCTTCTACCACCTCCTCAGCCAGTATTTGTTGACCAGCCATCAGAAATCTCGGTTTCATCGGTAGCTTCAGCTTCAATAGTTGAACAAATAGCGCCGCCAGTTTACCCCCCATTTAATTACCCCATCCCAAATTACCTCCAATCTGCCCCTGTCGTTACACAGCCCCCAAAACCACGTTTACCGTTTCCCCAAAATCAGTCACCAGAAATCTCAGTTTCATCGGTCGCTACAGCTTCGGTAGTTGAAGAAATAGCGCCGCCAGTTTACCCTCCGTTTAATTACCCCATCCCTAGTTACCCTAATAATTCCCCACCCATCATTGCACAACCCCCAAAGCCATACTTACCATTGCCCTATCCTTCACCACCAAAAACTGTTCAGCCGCCACCAGAAATCATACTCTCATCGGTCGCCACCTCTACAATAATTGAAGAAATAGCCCCGCCACCGTTTATTTATCCCACCCCAAATTATCCCCCTCCTTCCCCACCTATCGTTGTTAACCCCCCAAAACCGTTTCCCTACATACCTAAACCAAAACCTTTACCAATACCTCATCCAGTGGTTGTTAACCCGCCTCATCCAGTAGTTGTAACCCCGCCTGCCATAGAAATATTGCCGCCAGTGCCGCAAATTATCCCGCCAGTGGTTGTGCCAGAAATACCGCTGCCAGTGACGTGCCCGTATCTTTCTGCATTTGCATCGCCGTTTCTGCCAATTCTGCCACCAGCTTGCACTGAGTGTTGTCGTTGCCAGCATTTGAGGAAGATTCCCATCGCCCCACCAATGATTTAATTAATTTTGATCAGATTGTTTTATTAAATAATAATAAATAAATAAATAATAGCAAAAAAAAAACATTTTCAGCGGCTTCTGCACTAAGCTAAGGCTTGTATCGCAGCTGCCAAATAACACAACTAAAAAGTAAATTACAGTAGCAGTCAGACGAACAGTTTTACTTTTATTCTAGTGGCAAAATGATATGGGTAATATGAAATGTTGTTTTTTTATTTAACATCCATTGTTTAAAACATTGGGTGTCGCAAAATTACTCAGAGAAGATATTTTGAAATAAAATTATTATGACCTTTATTCAAGCTTTTTATTATTTTCCATAATTTAATTTCTCATTTCATTAATGAAGCCCACTGCTGGACGTAAGCCTGACTAAGAACATGATAGCTTGATTCATTCAACTTTTGCCAACCGTCTTGTCTGTCTTGATCGTCAGGTCATCAAACAGTATCTTATCAAAATTAAATAATGCAATAATGATGTAAGAATATTGAAATTTATCATTATTGGGACATGAATTTCAGATTGGTAATATTGTCAAACACTTTACATAATATTAATAAGACAAGATATTACATTAACTTTTATGTAATCGTAGATAAAAAATATTCAAAAAGGTAAAACAAGTTTATAAATTTTATTTAAAAGCAGTAGTAGATAGGTACCATAGTTTATTCTAGTAAAACAATGAAGGAGAATATAATTTATTGTTTTATAATAAATATTATATTGTTATCGGTAAGTGGTCGTAAAATTAACGTTATTTTTTAAAGATTACTTACTCCAATATACCTAAATTTAATACTTAGTTGTTGTTTACGAGTAGTACTTAAATTTTTCTATAAATCATGCATCGATTACAGCTCACATCTGCCGAATACTATGAGTACTCCAAAAGCGTCAAAAGGTACTACAAGAACTATCCAGAGATGACGTCATCTGCCTCCACGACTACAAATATCTACAGCACAAGCCCCCCACCTAACCCCCCTATGGCATATGCCAGTCCTGCCCCAAGTCAAAACGCACCAAATCCAGTGGTAGTTAAAGGGGCATACGCTACTCAAAATCCGTATGGGAGCCAGCCAGTCGTGTACCCGCCAAAGAGTGAATTTGCCCCGCCAAGCCATAGTTACCCTGCCCCGCCAAACGCTGGTTACTTGCCCCCGCCAAACGCTTACGTGGCCCCGCCAAACGCTTACGTGGCCCCGCCAAGCAATGCATTTGCCCCGCCAGTCACGCCGCCAAACGCTCTGGCATTCCCACCGCCAGTGCCAGTGCCGCCACCTATACCACCTCGCACTCCTGCTTCTCAGTCGAACTCTAGGTATAATAGGAATATGAAAATTCCTCCTCCTTTTGTCTAAGTTGTTTATTATTGTAAATTATACTTATTTATTGAAGTTTTTATGAGTTTCATTTTTTAGAAAGAGATGACGATATTATAGGGTTACTTAACCTAAGTTGAAGTTAACATTATAATACTTATATTGAATTAGTAACAAAGTCTTTATAATTTATAAACTACGTTTATTTGATAAATACTTGATAGTATGAAGTTGTAGAAGATCTCTTAGCAAAATGGTTCTTATTGGAGCCATGTAAAGCCATTTTAACTATTGGCAGAACATTTTTAACCATCGTAAAAAAGAAGACTTTAGATGCAGTTTTAGATGCAGCTAAAACACTGTAAATATTGTAAACAAAAACTAATCTGAACCTGAATTTTGACTAGATTGAGGCTTTTTGGGGTGAATTTCAACATTTAAAGCAATCATAAAAATAAGAATCTATGACTGAAATTGAAAAATCTTGAGCGAGTTTCGAGCATTATAATACGAACCCTAAATTCGTGATTGCTTCCTCGAATCAAAATCTATACCTACCAAGACATTACATCGTTTAACTCCACTGAAATGCAAACTTAATTTCGTTCAATTGCCAACTGTTTATTCCAAACAAGTTTCTAATTGTAATCAAGCACTAGTCTATAACTCGAGCAATGACCTTCTTTCCACATCGATTGGCTCAGCTTTCAGCAAGGACGCCCAAGGTCGCCCTTCGCTTGAAGGACGCTCGTGTTGTATCCAGGGCCTTAGCTAGGGGGTGGGGGGCATTATAGAGATTGCCCTCCTAAAAGAATATACCTACTAATTTCATAATAGAGCCAATGCTCTAATAATAAAATGTTATAATGACTATAATATAATCTTAATGTTTCTTTCTTTCTTTCTAAAATTGCCGTACCCCTCAATTACCATCGAATATGTTAGTTAATACAGTAAATTCATAATTTGATGTTTAAAAAAAACTATACTCGTAGAGCAGAGATTTTAAATAACTTAGGATTAAGCAATGAATCATGTAATTCTTTCGGAAGGTTATTTCATTGCGTCAAATGATTAAGTAATAATTACCCTCCTCCCCTTTTTACTGGTTGTTTCCCACCCTCCAACTAAGCTCGCATATGCTGAGCCTCATCCTTTTGCCTCTTTTGTTTTTTAATGTAATTTTTTTTGTTTATATTTCTATGTTTGTAAAGCATGTAAAAACGAGCCTATAAAGTATTATCTTATCTTATCTTATCTTAATAGTTAGTTAGCTACGTGGTGATAATAACACATGGTAATCCATACTTACTAAATAATAAATTAGCTCTATCTGTCTGTGAACCTGGATGAAAATTTGGTATAGAAATAGACCGAGAGCTGAAAAAAACATAGAATAGCTTTTTCCTTTTTTTTAAAGGGGACACGTGTGCGATAAACTAAAGTTTTTCTGTGACAGACTGATATTCATGAGTTTGAAGTGAAGCCGTGATTTTTGCTACTTGCCTCATTTTTGTTGTAACGACCGCTACCTTATTTTAATTTCGTCCTGGCTACGGCCCTGTTTCAGCCGAGGTTTCACGTGCTAGCGTTTCCCCAGGTACGTTTAAAAATAGATCTGACGTCAGTTCAAAGGTTTATAAAGAAACTGTTTTCTTTATAAAAGTAATTTGAATGGTACCTATCATGTTGAAAATAATGAGGGTTCTTGGGAAAATAAATAGTATTTTTTTATATTCTCGTCAGTCTTATAAAACTGTGATTGTTTAATTAATGTTCTAATTTAATTTGATGAGGACAAAGTAAGGTTTAATAACCTATAGGTAGTCGCAAACCACTTAGAAACAATATCTGTTACAAAAATGTAAACTTAACTAAGTAACAATTTAAGCTATTTTATGAGCCAAATATTGGTTTTCAAACAAAAAATATCATAATCGGTCCATTATTTTAGTTGCCCGTTCGCTTTAACAAAATGTTCTCTAGCATAGACATCTACATTTTTAATAGAAGTAATTTCGAAAAACTTTCCTACATTTCAATATTATTACTAGTACAGATAGATACTATCTCTATCAGTACAGATGGTAATTTCACAATAAATCACAATGTGAGTGATCGTGTTTCTCAAAATAAAGTAAAAGATAATTTCGCGATTCAGTTATAATAACACGTTCAAATGATAGAAGATATCTTACTATCGATTTAAATAATCGAGATAAATAAAGTTTAATCGATAAAGTTTACATAAAACAGTTATCGGATTTAAAAACTTCTCAGTCTTTGATATATCCCAATGGGGAGATTATTGAGTTGAAACCCAATATGGCGACTATTCAGCCATATTTTTTGCTGATGCAGTTGTTGTTTGTGCAGGTAAGCTTCATTTTTGATTTACCTAATACCTACAAAGTGTTTTAATTTTATTAGACTGAATTGCATCACCTTAACTTGATTCGTAACTAAGTAGAATAACTTTAACCGGTGTTTTTGTATTGAGTTTAACTTTAACCGGTGTTTTGCACACTATAGATAGTGACGTACCGGAATACACGCGGGCGAAGAGCAGTAAATATTTAAACTTTTATAATTTCCCAAGGCTGTCTGGTCTGTCTTTCTGTTACCATAAGCGTACTCTATCATAATAATATTCACAATAATAGTTATGAGATAGTTTGAGACTCAGGGAAAAACTAAAGAAAATCAGGTCTATTTTCATCTCTCATTCCCACCGCTGCGACTCCACCTGTGTAGCAGCTTGACCGCTAATAAAAACCCACCAGTGAAGGTTAATGAAGTTTGTCCCGGGGGAGAGTTAAACTGCCATTTTACCCGAAACGAAATTAATCAGAAGAACATAAGAGAAGGATCAGATACTTAAGTAGTTTTTATCCTGGTTTGTTTATTCCACAGAATGTGTTCAGCCAAATCGTGCCAATCGGCAATGGCTGCTTCTGCCAGAAGCCACCGGTGCCTCAGAACCAGGTGATCAATCTTCAGATCCCAAATCCTGGCTGCAACTGCCAAAATAATCTGCCATACAACGTGCCAGTCAACTTCAACAACGTGCCAATCAACAATTTTCCAGTCAACCAGCTGCCAGTTGTGAATGGCATAATAAACAACGGTGTCCAACTCAACAAGAGACCTCAATATCCTAATATACCAAACTTTAACTTGCCAATGGGTAGCTTACCAATTATCAATAATTTGCCTGTTAACAATGTACCGGTTTACAACAATATGCCAGTGGCCAACGTGCCAGTATTCAACAACTTGCTGATTGGCAATAATCTGCCAGTCAACAACATACCGCCAAACGGTCTCCAAATTAACAGACTGCCAGCGTTTAACAATATCAACATTGGCAATAATATGCCAGTAAGAAATAATCTGCCAATGCCGAATACTTTTATTCCTGGCATGCCAGTGGCAAATAACATTCCTGTAAACTGCTTAAACGGTAATGGGTTGGTAAATCTACAAAATTGTATACAAGTGCCGAACGCAGTAAATCTACCAATCCCAAATAATATACAATTTAAAAACATCAATCCACCACAGAATTTCAACGTCCAACCCGTGAACAATTTGGTATTTGGCCCGCCAAGCAACTTCCAAATCCCCAATTTACCTATTGGCCAGCCAAACAGTATTCAATTCACGGACGTGCCAAGCGGAATTCAACTGAACCAGTTGCCAATGCCAAATGGGTTCAATCAGCAAAATTATCAAAATGGACAGATAAATAGTGATTGTTCTTGTAACCAGCCAAGTATGCCAGTTGTAGTCGAGAATGGCTTGGCCAATCAGCCAAACAGTGGGCCAATAGTATCGATGAATGGACTACAGCTTGGCGGGCTTGGCGGACTTGGCAATTTACCGCTGTTTAATGGCCTGCCAGTAATTGGCGTGCAAGAAAGCGTTGTGAATCTGAACCCGCAGTGTAATTGCCAGAATTAATTTACGTTAAGCAACTATTTATTTTAATAAATATTTAATTTATTTGAATTATTGTTTTATTAACCACCTCTTCAGATATTTTACCGGATATTATATGGGGAAGCTTAGATAACTTAATCTAGCTAGGTAGGTACTTGAAAGATCTTCGAAATTGGCAAAACTTTTTCAGGTTGTACTTACAAGTAACTAAATTGGTTAACATTTTAATTACCTAGCCTCATTGTGTAAAGAAATATCTATTAGAATTTCTTAGATTATTCTAATTCAATTGAAAATATATTTCTCAAATGTATGGTGCATGTGTCGCAACTGAATTGTAGCTGATTGAAATGTTGTAAAGTAAATTCGAGGAAAGGCAACTAATCTTTTTCTATGTAGGTAGTGTAGTAAGTTCAATTCCAGGAAAGGCATACTAATCTTCCTTATATAAAAATGAATTGCTGTAAGTTAGTCTTGCTAAAACTTGAGAATGGGTGGGTCGATTTAGGTGTTTTATTTTTGTAAAGCTTGTCGTAGTCCAGGGTTTCATCAACATTATCATTTCAGCCACAGGACGTCCACTGCTGAACATAGGCCTCCCCCAATGATTTCCACAATGGCCGGTTGGTGGCGGCCTACATCCAGCGCCTTCCCGCTACCTTTATCAGGTCGTAGGTCCACTTCGAGGGTGGGCGTCCCACGCTGCGTTTTCCACTCCAAAACCTTGCTGCCCCATCGGCCGTCAGTTCTGCGTACTATGTGCCCTGCCTATTGCCACTTCAGCTTGCTAATCGGTCGGGCTATGTCAGTGTGCTATGGAACGGGCTATGCTCGGTGTTTCTTTACGAGATCAAATCAGAAATGAGGAGATCCGTAAACGAAGAGTCACAGGGAAGGTTTATGATGAAAAAAATTTATTTGCAGTAATATTATGTAGGTGAGATACAGGCCAAGAGCTTCCTCGTTGTGGATAAAAAAATAAATAAAAAAAATCAACACTGATATAAAGTTCACATGGTTCATTTGCAGTCAGAAATGATATTAAACTATGGTTAAAGTGGACCAACGACCTCACAAAGGTAGCTTGAAAGCGCTAG